TGCGCCCTGCCAAGTACTTTTTTTTTTTTTTTTTTTAAGAGACAGGGTCTCTCTCTGTCACCCAGGCTGGAATATTAAGCAGATTAGAGGGAGAGAGTGAAGGAAAGGATTGCAATTTTAAAAAAACAGTGGTTAAGCGTAGCCATTTTGATAAGTTGACTTTTAAGCAGAGACCTTTATTGATAAGGCCACTTTTAAGGAGAAGTGCATTCCCAGCAAAGAGGGGAAAAAAGATGGAAATTGGGAGGGGGGAGGCCCTGTAGTGCTGGTGACAAGTTCCAGGAATGGGAAGCAGGCCAGCGCAGCTGGAGCCCTGCGAGCCAGCAGGGAAGGAGAGGGGTTCAAAGCAGCGTCTAGGGCAGGCCATGAAGGGCTTGTGAAACGCATTGGCAAATAAAAACACTTTTATTCTACATGTGAAGGGACGTCATTGGGGGTTGGGGGCTTAGAGTGGCGTGATGAGGCTTGCCTTAGCAAACATCACTCTGGCTGCCGCGCAGAGACGACAGTGCGGAAGCGTGGCAGCGTGGAGAGCAGCCGGGGACCGCTGCAGGTCTGTGGGCAAGAGAGGAGCTCTGGCTTGGACCAGGCTGGGAGCAGCGAAATGGCGAGACTGGTTGTAAGAACACATCTGAAATGTAGCAGCAACAGGATTTGTTCAGTTGGATCCGTTTATGGATTGGGTGTGAGGAGTGAGAGAAAGGAGACTCAAGGAAAACTTCAGGGTTTTTGGTCCGAGGTGTTGGTAAAATGGAATTTGTGTTTACCGAGAGGCTGTGTGGCCAGCCTCGGCTGTTTCACAGGTGGCTGTCTGGGTTTCCTGTACAGAATCTGAGCCCTAGGGCCGGGCGCGGTGGCTCATGCCGGGAATCCTGGCACTCTGGGAGGCCGAGGCTGGAGGATCGCTCGAGATCAGGAGTTCGAGACCAGCCTGAGCAAGAGCGAGACCCCCGTCTCTACTAAAAATAGAAAGAAATTAATCGGACAACTAAAAATATATAGAAAAAATTAGCCGGGCATGGTGGCGCATGCCTGTAGTCCCACCTACTCGGGAGGCCGAGACAGGAGGATCGCTTGAGCCCAGGAGTTTGAGGTTGCTGTGAGCTAGGCTGACGCCACGGCACTCACTCTAGCCAGGGCAACAGAGCCAGACTCTGTCTTGAAAAAAAAAAGAAAAAAGAATATGAACCTTAGGTTGCATGGAGGGTCTCTTTGGGCCTCCCTGTTAAGGGTTGTTCATTCAGCCCACTGTTACGCCACACACAACAAAGGCACTAGGAGTAAAAAAGACACGAGTAAGACTTGAGTTCCTGTTCTGTGGGAAGTCACGTTTAGTGAGGCAGAAAACCTAGTTATTTATTACCATAGGGTATGTTAAGTGCATGGGTAAAGGAACTCTCGTTAGGTAGGTTCTCAGCCTTCCTATGCAATTTCCCACTGGTGTAAGCCTTGAAAACCTCTTTTTTTTTAAAAGATAGTCTCAGTGTACCAAAATTAGAAAATATAGGTACATAAGAAGAAGGAAGGTTGTACACCTGGCTTTCATAGATAACCGCTATTAACATAAAAGAAAATACAGTTTATCCAATGCAGAATTTTTCTATGCATACTCATTTATAAATATTTAAATATGAAGTTGAACAACTTTTCATATTTAGCATTTTGTGATGCTCTTACATGCAGTAAACATATTTCTACGAACCATATGTAATGACTCTTTTAAAATTCCATTATACATAATTACCATCACTTGTAATTAATCATTTATTATTAGATAGATTTGCCCATATTTTTTCTATTTTTTGATGAATATCCTTTTAACAAGATTTTAGTATACATCCTTATTTTCTTGGACAAATATTTAAAAGTGCAATAGCTCATTCAAAGGAGATGCACTTTTTTAGTCTTTTAATATGCACTTCTAAGCTGCTCTCTGTAAAAGTTGTACACTGCCATCATCATTTCGCCAGATGCTTATTTTAGGTGCTAGATCTGAATATTATTTAAAAACAAAAACAAAAACAATTTACTTTATAGTGAGGTTAAATATTTTTTATATGTTTATTTTATGTGATTTGGGGTTTATTATTCGTCTTCTTTGTCTATGTTTCCATTGGCTATTCATCTTTAATATAGATTTGTAAGACCTCTTTACTTGTTATATATTTTCTTTCTTTCTTTTTTTTTTTTTGCGAGACAGGGTCTTGCTCTGTTGCCCAGGCTGGAGTGCAGTGGTGTGATCATTAACTTACTGCAGGCTCAACTCCAGGGCTTAAGTGATCTTCCTACCTCAGCCTCCCTAGTAGCTAGGACGACAGGCACAGGCCAGTGCACCTGGCTAATTTTTTTCTATTATTAATATTATATTTTTTGTAGAGCTGAGGTCTCACTATGTTGCCCAGACTGGTCAGAACTAGCCTCAAGCTATCTTCCTGCCTTGGCCTCACACAATGCTGGGATTACAGGCATGAGCCACTGTACCTGGCCTAGTTGTTATATATTTTCAAAAATTTCCCATTTATTAATGATGTATTTTGTCATCTAGATGTTTTAAGTTTTTATATATTGAAATCTTTTAAGTTTTTTCTCTTATGGTTGTTTCTGTTTTGATAGTTGGCTTAGAAAGTAATTCTACCCCCCAGCCCCGCACCTCCTACCAAGTATCTTTATGCTTCTTTTTTTATATTTAAAACATTTTGATTCATTTGAGTTTTTTTCAGTTAGTTGTTTATATCTCGTGATTTGAACAATTTTTCTTTTGTCTACTGATTTAAAATATTATTTTTATCATGCACTAAGTTCTCATATACTGACATTATTTTCTTATTCAATCTTTTAAAAAGAATTATAAAATTATTTTTATAAACTTATTTAATGCTTATTGTAAAAAAAATTAATGCAGAAAATATAAAGGAAAAAGACAGACTGGTAAAAAGCATGCTACAAAGGAGAAGTTAGTTCTCCTTTACTGTAAAATTTTTAGTGTTTATCTTTCCAGATTTTTTCTAACTATATACAAATACAATAATATATAGTAAAAATGAAATCATTCCCTAAGATGATTTTGTAAGCTACTTTTTCATTTAAAATATATGGTGAGTATCTTTCTGTGTTTGGGTCTATGAATGCAGATCCAGAATAATTTCTAGTAACTGCGTAAATACCATTATAAAGATGTGTTCTTACGCAAAATCTACACTTGAAAATGGAAGAAAATATATTATTACTATATAAATATACACATATACTAAAGAAGTCATAGGCATCAAATGCTTAGTACTTTTTCTGTAAATTTTATTATTGCCTTATATTCTTCATTTGCAATGGGAACAGATAGCCAGAGAAGGATGTATTTTAGATGTGTAGATCTATAAAATTTAAGCTATAAGATTATATCGTAGTAGCTATACATCTGATTAACAAGCTGGCCTTAATCATTTTGTCTAAGGAGTCGTCTATGGAGTCCCTAATCTGCAGGTTGGCACTCATAAGTACATTCTAATAACACACGTGCGTCAGTGTGCATGGTATTTTTGCAATCTTTAAGTAGCAAAGAAGCAGCTTCCATGTGGTGGAAACTTACCGCGGTGAATTTCAAATAAATACGGAGGTAAAGAGAATAG